ATAGATACTGAGTATTATTTTACAGAGCAGCATGTTTATTATCAGCGTATAGATACTCAGTATTATTATACAGAGCGACATGTTTATTATCAGCGTATAGATACTCAGTATCATTATACAGAGCGACATGTTTATTATCAGCTTATAGATACTCAGTATTATTATACAGAGCGACATGTTTATTATCAGCGTATAGATACTCAGTATTATTATACAGAGTGACATGTTTATTATCAGCGTATAGAAACTCAGTATTATACAGAGCGACATGTTTATTATCAGCGTATAAATACTCAGTATTATTATACAGAGCGACATGTTTATTATCAGTGTATAGATAGTATTATTATACAGAGCGACATGTTTATTATCAGCGTATAGATACTCAGTATTATTATACAGAGCGACATGTTTATTATCAGTGTATAGATAGTATTATTATACAGAGCGACATGTTTATTATCAGTGTATAGATACTCCGTATTATTATACAGAGCGACATGTTTATTATCAGCGTATAGATACTCAGTATTATTATACAGTGACATGTTTATCAGCGTATAGATACTCAGTATTATTATACAGAGCGACATGTTTATTATCAGCGTATAGATACTGAGTATTATTTTACAGAGCAGCATGTTTATTATCAGCGTATAGATACTCAGTATTATTATACAGAGCGACATGTTTATTATCAGCGTATAGATACTCAGTATCATTATACAGAGCAACATGTTTATTATCAGCGTATAGATACTCAGTATTATTATACAGAGCGACATGTTTATTATCAGCGTATAGATACTCAGTATTATTATTACAGAGCGAGATGTTTATTATCAGCGTATAGATACTCAGTATTATTATACACAGCGACATGTTTATTATCAGCGTATAGATACTCAGTATTATTATACAAAGCGACATGTTTATTATCAGCGTATAGATACTCAGTATTATTAAACAGAGCGACATGTTTATTATCAGTGTATAGATACTCAGTATTATTATACAGAGCGACGTGTTTATTATCAGCGTATAGATACTCAGTATTATTATACAGAGCGACATGTTTATTATCAGCGTATAGATACTCAGTATTATTATACAGAGCGACGTGTTTATTATCAGTGTATAGATACTCAGAATTATTATACAGACTTGTGACTACATTATTATGTGGATACTGTGGTGTATACCAGCAGTCCCCTCTAGGGAAGCTTTGCACAATGCACAGTTTTTCCCTAACCAGCTCCTGTAGTAAGTGTGCAAGGCATGCTGGGATGGATACACCCCCTAGATTTGCTCTCTTCCCAGTGTGTGTATGGAGTTCGGCCATGTTGGGTGTATGTTACAGCAGGAATGTGTATATCAACAAAGCGATCGAAGATAATATGTGACTTGTGATCAATAAATCCTGGCTGATTAATAGACGGTATGTTATTGTAAGTCAGCTATCATCAAACATAACAGGTACTCGATATTATTATACAGAGTGACATGTTTATTATCAGTGTATAGATACTCAGTATTATTATACAGAGCGACATGTTTTATTGTCAGCGTATAGACACTCAGTATTATTATACAGCGCGACATGTTTATTATCAGCGTATAGGTACTCAGTATTATTATACAGAGCGACATGTTTATTATCAGTGTATAGATACTCAGTATTAGTATTATTATACAGAGCGACATGTTTATTATCAGCGTATAGATACTCAGTATTATTATGCAAAGCAACATGTTTATTATCAGTGTATAGATACTCAGAATTATTATACAGAGGGACATGTTTATTATCAGCGTATAGATACTCGTTATTATACAGAGCGACATCTTGACTAGTGTCTCTGACTACCTCTCTGCTGTTTCTAACTGGATGGTTGCCCACTTCCTTAAACTAAACTTGACCAAAACCTGAAATTCTGGTCTTTCCTCCCTCAAGTGTTGTTACTCCTCCCTGCCTCCCTAAAAGTCAACAGTGCTACCATCAGCTCCACCACGCAGGCTCGCTGCCTAGGTGTTCTCTTTGACTCCGACCTCTCCTTCAAGCCTCATGTTCAATCTATCACCAAATCCTGTCATTTCCATCTCATAAACATTGCGCACATCCGCCCCTACTTAACGCCTGATGCGACTAAGGTGTTGTTCCATTCCACTGTCTTTTTTCGCCTTGACTACTGTAATCCGCTTCTCAGTGGTCTTATGTGCTCCCAACTAGCGCTGTTACAGTCCATAATGAATGCGGTGGCGAGGCTCATCTTCCTGTCCGCCCGCACCTCCCATGCCTCACCCTTCTGTCAGTCTCTACATTGGCTTCCTATAAAATATAGAGCTCAATTTAAAATTCTGGTTCTTGCTTTCAAATCTCTACATAATGCTGCTCCCACCTATCTATCCTCCCTTATACACAAGTATGTCCCGTGTAGGCCCTTATGATTTGCTGAAGACTTACCTCTATCGTCTGTCCGTACCCCCACCTCAGATGCTCGCCTTCAAGATTTCTTGAGGGCTGCACTGTTCCTGTGGAACTCGCTTACTCCTCCGTTAGATGCTCACCCAGTCTCCACTCCTTCAAAAAATCGTTAAAAACCCACTTCTTCATAAAAGCGTATCAATTAAACTGTTAATAGCTCCTAACTGATTACTCTTCTGCAACTGTCACTAGTCTTATACTATCCTTACCTTTTTGTGTAATTTTACCCAACTCCCTCTAGCATGTAAACTCATTAAGCAGGGCCCTCAACCCCTCTGTTCCTGTGTGTCCAAATTGTCTGGTTACAACTACATGTCTGTTCGTCCACCCATTGTAAAGCGCTGCGGAATTTGACGGCGCTCTATAAATATCATAATAATAATAATACACATACATGACATTCTATATATCTATATATAATATACAAATAGCTGCAAATATTTCTATATAGATACATATATATATAATTACATAAATAACTACATAAGTATACACATAGAATTTAAATACATATATATGTATATAAAAATTCTACGTGTATGCTTAAGTAATATTTTAACATAATTATGTGATTTGAATTAATTAAAATTTGATTGACGTGCTTGACAACACATGCCGCAAGTGCAGAGAATTACATTTGCACGCACTATATTTAACCCTGTAACTTTCCACCATAAAACCTGTACATGGGGAGGTACTGTTTTATTCGGGAGACTTCGCTGAACACAAATATTAGTGTTTCAAAATGATAAATTGTATTACAACGATTATATATTTTAGTAAAAGTGAAGTTTTTTACATTTTTATTTATTTTGTAAATATTGTTTTTATTTGCAGTTCAAATAATAACCGGCAGCATTGAGGCTAGTAACAATGAGACTCGCAGGTCTCGGTCGGCATCTTAACTATAGCGACATTTGCACAACATGTGCTAAGTATTATTTTATGCAATGCGTCAAGATAACTAGGCACATCGGCCTGCAACAATAGTGGACTCGCAGGTCATTTGGTCTTCTAGCAGTTGCTGTTTATTGAATAAATTCTCGTTTTAGTGTCCACTTGCGGGGAGGTAGATTTAAAGGTGCCTGATCACATCCAACAGGGTAGTCTATTGTGATCCCAGTTTTATTTTCCGGTCGTCTTAAACCTCTGTCCCTTACTGGTGCCTAGGGGTGTCATACGGGTAACTCAGTCCATCTCTGCACGGTCATCTGTAATGCTGTGGGTGTCTCGTGGCTTCAGCTGAGGGTCTTTACTACACTGGTGCGTGTTGATCGCTATGGCCGTGCGTCTCTGTGTCAAGGTTACGTTCGGTCTTATGTGGTCCCTGTCTCATCCCCACGGGTCAGGGTCGTGTAATCTTGCTCCAGGTTGAAGTCGACCGTAACTCTTATGGGCAAATGTAAATATTACAAGTTTTAGAATGAAATGTTGTATTTCTTAAACTGTGTACTTTGTCTTTAAGAGATATTGCAAACGGACAAGGTGTTAGAAATGGAACATATTGTTTTTCATAACTATTTCTTTAAGCAATAATCTCAGTGCATAAAATGTTTGCGCCATTTTGTCCCAGACAAATTACAATAACAATAATGCATATACAGGCTTCAAGGCTATGCTACGACTCTTTCAGTACACAATATACTGTGGTAAGATTAAAGGACCACTATAGTGCCAGGAAAACATACACGTTTTCCTGGCACTATAGTGCCCTGAGGGTGCCCCCACCCTCAGGGACCCCCTCCCGTCCAGCTCTGGAAAGGGGAAAGGGGTTTAAACTTACCTTTTTCCAGCGCTGGGCGGAGAGCTCTCCTCCTTCTCTCCTCCTCCGATCTGCCCCGTCGGCTGAATGCGCACTTGCTGCGCGCGCATTCAGCCGGTCACATAGGAAAGCATTTACAATGCTTTCCTATGGACGCTGGTGTGCTCTCACTGTGAAAATCACAGTGAGAAGCACGCAAGCGCCTCTAGTGGCTGTCAATGAGACAGCCACTAGAGGCTTTGGGGGAAGGCTTAACCCATTAATAAACATAGCAGTTTCTCTGAAACTGCTATGTTTATTAAAAAATGGGTTAACCCTAGCTGGACCTGGCACCCAGACCACTTCATTAAGCTGAAGTGGTCTGGGTGCCTAGAGTGGTCCTTTAAGTAGATAAGGATGTCCAGACTTTAAGATGCCATCTTGAACTAAGTCTGGAAAATTTCCATGACGTATATACCCTTTAGTTATGGCCTTGTATGTTTGCCAAGTTAAGGGAGGTCCTAAAATGAATAAAGTAAAAAAGTTACTTTTTTATATATGAACTACAGTGACCTTAAAATACCTAAGGTATAAATAGGTGTACTTTTAAATGTTAAGACACAGAGGAGAGACTTGGAGACAGACGCTGCTCCATCTTAAAATGACAGAGAGGATGACATGTTCAGAAGGGTATGTTAACCTATTAATGATATTTGCAAGCATTTAATTTACTCTTATAAACTCTACTATAATGGAGTTTATATGTCTATATTTATATTTTTATATAATAAATATCTAAAAGATAAAACTCTATTGCTTCCAAGACAATCCTTATTTTATATTGTATTCTCAATTATTTATATATGTTAAATAGAGGATCTCTTACAAACTATATAAAATTATGGCTAAGATATCTGTATGGTTAGCCATACTAAGTTCTATGCTTTAAGACATTATAGTGGTAAATAAGGGAACCATCTGCGGTTACATAACTGTCTACCATCTCCCTAGTGTCTTCTAGTCCCAAGTGGTTTGCTCAGGCCTCTTCTGGGATTTCTACTATCGTATGCTACATTCTTGTCCATTCATTGTTGGTGAGACTATGTCGTTATGCAGGAGATTTGTCAGTGTGTTTATCTGTCGTGGTTGTCTTGCTCCTTTATTGTCGGTGTTTAGTTAGGGTACCGGTCTCCTTACTATAATAGATTCAAATAATGTGTTGTGAGTATCGACCCCGTCTTGGACAGGGGTGGTGTGGTGTCCCATTGTCCATTTGTGTCTAACATCTTAGGTTTGTCATGTGGTTGCTCCTCTGTTGTATGGGTCCCTTGTTCCATGTGGGAACGTGCGTACCCCACAAGGTATTATTGTGCCGTGTCTGTAGTACATCGGGTGGCCCCGGATCCGCCCGGACGGGGGGGTGATGGGGGGGGGGGAGTGGAGGAAGGAGGCTAAAAGGGGGTGCGAGTTTCGGTGTCGTGTGAGTATAGTGTTGGAATCTGCGTGGGAATCTTCTTGACTAGTGTCCCTGTTGCTCACCTCCCTGTGTCCTTGTTTGTGATACGTACATGTACCACGGCCTCCAAAGTTCGAGATGTTTGTCACTCCTCCCAAGCATGTTGGCATATCTAGCCTCGGCTGTGTGAATCTTCTCCACTCTCTGAATCCAGTCTATTTTAGTGAGTGGTTGGGTTTGTTTCCATATTGCTGGGATCAGTGCTTTGGCTGCGTTCAGCAGGTGTCGTAGGATTGAGCGTTTTGTTTTGTGCTAATGTCCCTTCGAAGGAATGTAGTAGTGCAGATTCTATGCTGAAATCTGGTAGTTCTCCCAGGATTGCAGTTATTTCTAGTTTCATCTCTTGTGTTTTGCACCTCCAGCACTTATCAGGAACCCCTGGGAGAATCCTGTGTAACATCGATGGCATCCTGTACCAGTGTGAGAGTAATTTAAAGTGCACCTCCTGGTACTTGGTGCTTATCAAACTCTTATGCTGCAGAATAAGAATAGTTTTTTTCATTTTTCACACACGAACTGTATTTTTACTGACGATATTATTGTTGTAATATGTTTTACAGTTTTGAAACACTTATGCTTGTGTTCAGTGAAGTCTCCCAAGTATAACAGTACCCCCTATGTACAGGTTTTATGGTGTTTTGGAAAATTAGAGAGTCAAATATAAGGCTTGCATTTCATTTTTGCCAGATTGGTTACGTTGCCTTTGAGACCGTATGTGTAACAGAACTGTCTGTATATTGATAACAATTATTTTCCCTTAATTTGTCTGTTTGTTCGGTTTATTTCCCTGCCTGTACAATCCCTTTGAGTTCCCCTGTTAAACTACCGAAAGCCGCACAAAGGCGCGACCACTGGGAAGCTGGCGTGTGCCTCCAATTGATCTCCCTGCAGCTAGCGTGTGCCGTCAATTGACCACCCAGTAGCTGCGGTTAACCGCAGCTTAATTGACTGTTCCTGGGTGGTCGCGGTTACACCTAGCTGCCACACAATGGCGGTGTTCTGCAGTCTCCGGCACAACCACCAGTGATTAGCCCGAACTCGGTGAGCTGAAAGTGGACACTTTCACTCACCAAACACCGCTGAACCTGCAGCCTTCCTTGATTCCATGTCGGTGTTTGTAGGGACTGAGGGTGTCAGCCATGCCTGGGCTAGCGCCCGCCTGGCCGCCAGGGTGATTTTGTTAAATAGGAGTGGTTCTTTTCTGGGTAGGCCAACAATTGGCCTAGATAGCAAGACGGACCAAGGGTCCATTTCCACCTGTCTGCCCAGGACATCCGTTAGTAGAGTCTGTACTTGTTTCCAATATCCGCCTATAACTGGGCATTCCCACCACAGATGCCCTAAGGTACCCTTATACCTGCAGCCCTTCCAGCACATGTCTGGCATGGTTTTCCCTATTCTATGTAATTGTACTGGTGTGGTATACCATCTCGTTAACATTTTGTATGATTGTTCATGGTGGAGAACACAGATCGACGTCTTTGCTGTCGCCTCCCATATATCCACCCAGTCCTCACCCTCCAGCTCTCCTCCCAGATCGGTCTCCCACTGTCTAATGTATCTAGGGTCCGGAGTGTTTCTGTCTGGGGCACTGAGGTGTGCATAGAGGAGTGT